AGCGAAAACAGATACCTTTCAAAGGCCGGCAACTTTGGGCAACAGCCTCGAACCCGTAGGGAAAACGTCAACAACTACCGACCAATGAGTCTATTATCAGTCAGGTCATAGAGAGGATCATTGGGAATTACATAGTAGTCCACTTAGAAGTAAACGAGATGATCTCAGCAGGTCAGCATGGTTTTCGTAAACGAAGATCAAGTGTAACAAACCTATTACCTACCTAGAGGGGCACTATATCAACCACAACCAAACTCCTAAACCGGGTCTAGACTGGGCCCTGGATGGACTGCAGCTGGTACGTTTCTCTCTGGGAACCTAATAGGGTCAGCGATGCTACCGTGCAGATAGACGCAGACAGCTCAATAACCAAAAGGGTACTTGTTGTGTACCACCACAATACGAAGTGCCCCGGCAACCTGGGCACTATCGGCTCGTGAGCATATCTTAATGTGTGTGCTGAAAGTCGAACACAGGGGACGCGGAGTCTGGTGAATGGAAGAGAAATCAGGCAACTCGGACGACAGATCATAGTTAAACGCAAATCTGCTGAACCGGGGACCCCCTGAATTGCTTACACCTACCATACTATCCACTTTACCTACTCTCATATTTCCTCGAAATACCTGTAAAATGAGGAAACCTTTTGGGGCATAGCATTGCCTCTTCCCACTAACTCGCTCAGTTAGGTCTTGTCTTGAAGTCGTGAAGTGACTCTCGAGTTCGAGGCTGGCGCCCGATGGTCCCGGATCCTTGATGGTTTCTTATCGTTTGGTCTTGGAGAATGCAACTGGAAAATCATAGAAAACTGGAGGGGCAAACTACCGTCTTGCTCGGGGACTAGCGATGCTAGTTATACTGACAAAATTATTAATAAATGTAACAATTTGCTATAGTAAATGCGGAAAGACATAAATAACTAGAAGAGGGCTACAGTAAATATAAAAAATGAAAAGACTGCAAGCATCATTTCTATTTTCTTTTTCTGCAGGCATTCCTCTTCAGACTTGTACTGTATCAGCTACAAAAGTAGCACCTGGATCGAAAAGTTGTCCAAACTGACTTCGGGGAGCCCAAAATCGGCTCGCAAGGGATTCTCTATTGTCGAAGCACACGTAGGCCAATGATGCACTCACGGCGCAAGAACCTGGACTCAAATTGGCATGAGGCGCAAGTCCTGTGACCCGACCTGACCTGAACTGACCTGAATCACTTCAAGACTTCAAGACACACCTGGTGTAGCGCAGTTGAGTTCAGTCAGAACGTACCGCGACAGCTAACACTATGGTGCGGTTTTTCTTGTATGAAACAAAAGCAACAACCTGGTGTCACCAACTAAGTGATTTCACGAACAGTGTAGCAGGATCTGGTTGTGTTTGAATGCTCTAACGCTTTAGACATTTCAGCTGTCATCATGAAGCGGCAGTCTTTTCAAGACGGTTCGTCTCGTTCCAAGGGTTCCCGGGATACGATGGCATCTGATAGTGATGCCGAGGACACTTACAATTCTTCCAAAAGCTTCAATCCTCGTCATAGGAAAGCTCTATTGCGGCGTCCCTCACCCGACAAGCGCCGAGCATACATCGAGGAACTTGATCAAAACTACCGTGGTCCCAAGAAAAAATCCGGACAGTTGGCCTCTGCCTCAAACTTTCCTGCCAGCACAAGAACTACAAATGTTGTCAGGTAAATCTGGTCTGATATTGGTTGTTGCATGGTGTCACTTAAGGCCGATATATCGGCCTTTATGCAGTACGCAGCTCATCAAACTTCAAACATGCCATCTTACGGCAGCTCTGTGATGAAAATGGCTCGTTTTAGCCATAGAATCAGTTACATCCACTGTGCATGTGTGGGGCATCACTCTGTGTTCACCGTTCACAAATATCAAGTTCTCACATTGAATGACCACAGTCGTTGCGCGACCACTGATGTCGACCTCGAGTACCCGGGATACGATTGTTAAGGGTACACCTAAGACTATTTTATAAAATAAATGCTGTGAAATGGATTCGGTCCGCATACCAAATGAGCGCACATCTCGTCCTGGAACACAGAACACACCAATTTCCATCTACGACACTTGTCTGGATACCGCTGGTGTCGATTTGTCACCCATGGCGCAGCAGCGCCTTGATGAAGTTTTCGGGTACTTCCCGTTTGTCTGTGACCATTGATTCCTTTGCGCCGGTGTTTTGTTAATGTGCTTCATGGAGTCCTACTTGGCATTCAAGAGAAGCGTGGAAGCATCAAGCCAATGATTTTTGTCTAGACTCGTGAACTTTGTGATGCCGGATTTACATTCAGGTGTCCACTCTGGGGTCGTTTAAAGTTCAGTGTTTTTGTGACCGGGAGCCCCGTCATCTGGTTTAGTGCTGCATTTTGAGTAGGCATAAAATCTCGATGTTGTGGTGCCGATTGTGTACATTCCAGACAAAATCCAATGGCAAAACGCCCGAACGAATACGTATTTTGTCTCCGGCTGTTGTCTGTAAGTTGACGTTTTTGTTTAGTTTGTTCTATTCCTAAGTGTCGCGGTCTTGAGATTGTGATGACTACGTTGTTCCAATTGTCAGCTGAGGCTTGTTGCATTTCTTGTTCGATTTCGTCACCGAGTTACCGGGTTTGTTGCAGCCTTTTGATTTGGGTTATACTTGTTCCTGGTTGTTTCGTGGAAAGTTCTTGTCTTCAGGATATCAATAGCGGTCATTCCGCGGCCCATCCATGTGCAAGCAGTCCTCATCATTGTTTGGCATTACAGCTGTTCTCAATGGAGGAATTTCCGTCCTCCATCTTGGTAATGGTTAAATTGACGTGCACCGGTCTGTAACTTGCTCACCGTACCGGGCAATATTCGTCTTGTTGATTTTTTCCACTTTCGTAACATTTCGTTACGTTTGCACTTAATTGATCACCGTGGCGTTTCAGGTTCACTTACAGACTATTCTGTTTTCGGTAATAATTTTCATGAACACTTCCTAACTATCTGGTTTCAAAATCTGAACCGTGCTCTGGCTGCAGCAACCGTCCAGATAAAAAACGTTTGGAATAAATCAGAGAAGTTTCCATAGATTTGGTTCTTCAGATGGGCCTTGCTTCCAGTCTGAGGAATGTCTCAGCTGCTCTGCCTCGGAAACTTTGCTGTATTTCGTTCACTAGAAAATCATGGCCCTTTGTTTGATTCTGTCTGTATTCACGCGTGAACTGCAATGTGTTGTTATTGTATATGACGAATGATCAGACTTGAACTACCAACTCCAAAATGTCCTAACTCTACACTGTCTCGCATTAATAAACGTTGATTTCTGTAGATTGCAACGGCCGGGGTGATGGTCATACTTGTCACTGGCTAAGCTTCCTTGGTGTCCGTTTGCCGGGATAGGTAGTGCGTAAAGAACGGCAATAAGTGGCTGGAATAAGACCTGTCAGGATGTTGAAACCCTGACCAAATGACTCCCAACACCACCCAACTTTGGTGATAGCTGGAGAGATGCTGACCATACCGTTTGTCCAAATTTATGGAGGATGCGCGAAGCGCTCTCATCAGACTAGAGATCTCTATAGCTATTTGGCATACGCTTTACGTCTTCAAAGTTCACAGTGATGCCACAAGACTAGGTGTCGTCTACTCCGGCTTTTATGCTTGATGGTCAAGAATTAGTTACATTGGATTGTTTCTCCTACTTAGGTAGTTGCGTGACAAACGATGATAGCATTGTCAAGGAAGTAACCATCCGCATTTCCAATGCCCGAGCAGCACACGCAAGGTTGAAACACTTTCGGTTCCGACGTAATGTTTCCCTGAAACCAATTATCGCGTATACTGCGGCACCGTGCGGCCATTTCTGCTCTGCGGTTGCGAAACCCCGAATTTGCACGTGCGAGATATTCGTCTATCTGTCTTCCTCCGTCGATGTTTACGTAGTTAGATGCATGTGGGTAGAGCGGGCGTGTCAGCAACTCTGAGGTAAGCCGTATTTGATAATGACTCGGTCAGAAATTCGGTTAGGACATGTACTGCGCACGCTTAGCTGCCGTCTACTGCACTGTGTCGTGTTCACAGTAGAGGCCCCAGGTTGAAGGAAATCACGTTGTCAACAGCTATCGTGGAAATGAGGTACACGGGGCGATTAGTTAGAGCAAGTATCTCCCGTCTTCCAGGGTGGGGTCCCAAAGACCGCATTCGGCTGGAGACACTGAAATCCTTCAATATAGAATAATTTGAACAATCATGGTGCCAACGCAAAAACTGACAACAATGGCGGGACGGAGTACAAAAATGTGAAGTGATAATGGGGACAGTAGGCCACAGGGAGAACAAATGAATGAATATCTTTTTGATAGGTTCATCGTATACTTTTTGAAGTTCTGGTCATTTCTTATCAGGTGAAAATGCTTGAAAACATGTATATTCAATTAGGTTGCCTACTCTATGTCTTGCCCATGAAGGTTCGTTTTCTTCGCCTCCCGATCCATTTTGTGCTTACTNTTGTGTACATTGTGAGCTTGACAGCAATTAACAAAACTTGCTTCACTGTTTCTCGTTGCACAATGATGGTAGCTTCGTTTTCGTCCTACCGTGTACCACGCCTAAGCTAGTGGAGCCTAATGTGTTTCACCACTCCAGGTCCCGGGGCCTGAGTCGCCGGTTTCCATGACTAAGCAACACATCTTCGTGGTCATGGAATTCACCATCGTCAGGGATATGATGAAAACGACTGCATCAGGCTTCCTGGTTAGGGACCCTTTGATAAACCTAATTACTGGTCAGACACTAGGTGACACGGGTTAGTGTCAGAAACAGGCGCTGGATTTCTAAGCAGATGTATTTTTTCTGTATTTCCACCTTAATAGTGCTCAGCTTTTAAACTTTTCCGTTGGTCGATCAACTAAACAGTCAAAAGACCAACGGGAACCGTTGTGCA